GGCATACGCTTTGAGTGTGAGTGTGTGTGTGTACTCACACACACACTCACACAGAACTCACTTAGTCACTTAGTTGTACTCATTTAGTCACTTAGTTGTGCTTGCGGGGGTTGAGCTCTGGCTCTTTGGCCCCGCTTCTCACCCGTCAATTAACTGATGTACAGATTCCTAAGCCTACTGGGCTCTATCATATCTACATTTGAAACTAAGTATGAAGTCAGCCTCCACCACATCACTGCCTAATGCATTCCACTTGTTAACTACTCTGACACTGAAAAAGTTCTTTCTAACGTCCCTGTGGCTCATTTGGGTACTCAGTTTCCACCTGTGTCTCCTTGTTCGCATACCACCCGTGTTAAAACGTTTATCCTCATCTACCCTGTTAATTCCTCTGAGAATTTATAGGTAGTGATCATGTATTCCCTTATTCTTCTGTCTTCCGGTGTCGTGAGGTGCATTTCACGCAGCTTTTCCTCGTAACTAATACCACTTCGTTCTGGGACTAGACTAGTGGCATACCTCTGAACTTTTTCCATCTTTTTCTTGTGCTTGACAAGGTATGGGCTACATGCTGGGGCCGCATACTCCAGGATTGGTCTTACATATGCTGTGTACAAGGTTTTGAATGATTCTTTACACAGGTTACTGAAGGCAGTTCTGTTTTCAGCCAGCCTCGTGTATTTATGTGGGCTTCAGGAGACAGGTTTGGTGTGATATCAACTTCTAGATCTTTCTCTTTGTCATTTTCATGAAGTACGTCATCTCCCACTCGGTATCCTGTGTCTGACTTCCTGTTTCCATCACCTAGTTTCATGACTATGCATTTACTTGTTTGAACTTAAGTAGCCATTTGTTGGACCATTCATTCAGTCTGTCTAGGTCATCTTGTAGCCTCCTTCTATCATCCTCTGTTTTAATCCTCTTCATAATTTTTGCACCATGAACAAACAATGAGAGGAACGACTATATACCCTTTGGGAGACTATTTACGTATATCAGAAACAGTACAGGTCCAAGGACTAAACCCGGCGGGACACCACTGGTGACGTCTCGTTAATTTGAGGCCTCACCCCTCACAGTGACTTGCTGTCTCCTGTTGTTTCGATACTCCCTTTTCCAATGGAGTACCTTCCCTTTCACTCCTGCGTGCATCTCCAGCTTTTTCACTAGCCTCTTGTATAGTACTGTGTCAAAGGCTTTCTGGCAATCCAAAAATATGCAGTCTGCTCACCCCTCTTTTTCTTGCCTGATTTGTGTTGCTTGATCGTAGAATTCAATTAATCCCGTGAGGCAGGACTTGCCATCCCTGAACCCTTGTAGATGCTGTGTTACAAAGTTCTTTCGCTCCAGATTTTCCCCTGGCATTTTTTCGCACAATCTTCTCCATCAGCTTGCAAGGTATGCAGGTTAGGGACACTGGCCTGTAGTTCGGTGCCTCCTGTCTATCCCCCTTCTTGTATATCGGGACTACATTAGCCGTCTTCCAAATTTTTGGTAATTCCCCTGTTACTAGTGATTTGTTATACACTATGGAGAGTGGCAGGCACATTGCTTCTGCTCTTTCCTTTAGTATCCAAGGAGAGATTCAGTCCGGGCCTGTAACCTTTGTCACATCCAACTCTAGCAAGAGCTTACATCTTCACTGGTAATCCCAAACTCTTCTAGTGGTTCCTGGTTAACTATTCTCTCTCTTATCTCTGGAACTTCCCCTTGCTCTAACGTGAAAACCCCTGGAAGTTCTTATTCAATTCCTCACACACTTCCTTGTCGTTTGTAGTGAATCTGTCTGCCCTTATCCTCAATTTCATTACCTGTTCCTTTACTGTTGTTTTTCTCTTGATGTGGCTATGCAGCAATTTAGGTTGAGTCTTTGCCTTGCTTACGATGTCATTTTTGTATTGCCCTTCTTCCTCTTTTCTCAACCTGACATATTCATTCCTGGCAGTCTAATATCTTGGGTTAAATCCTAACAACCATTTGTTCGACCATTCCTTCAGTTTGTTTAGGTCTTCTTTAAACCTCACGTAGTCTTCCTCTGTCTTAATCCGTCTCATAATTTTGTCATCATCAGTAAACATTGAGAGAAATGAGTCAATACCCCCCGGAAGATCATTTACCTATATCAGGAACAGGATAGGACCGAGTACTGAGCCTTGTGGGACTCCACTGGTGACTTCACGCCAATATGAGGTCTCATCCCTCACTGTAACTCTCTACTTCCTTTTGCTTAGATACTCCCTTATTCACTTGAGCACCTTACCAGTTACTCCTGCCACTGTGTGTGTGTGTGTGTGTGTGTGTGTGTGTGTGTGTGTGTGTGTGTGTGTGTGTGTGTGTGTGTGTGTGTGTGTGTGTGTGTGTGTGTGTGTGTGTGTGTGTGTGTGTGTGTGTGTACTCATCTATATGTACTCACCTATATGTGCTTGCAGGATCGAGCATTGACTCTTGGATCCCGCCTTTCTAGCTATCGGTTGTTTACAGCAATGACTCCTGTCCCATTTCCCTATCATACCTAGTTTTAAAAGTATGAATAGTATTTGCTTCCACAACCTGTTCCCCAAGTGCATTCCATTTTTCTACTACTCTCACGCTAAAAGAAATCTTCCTAACATATCTGTGACTCATCTGAGTTTCCAGTTTCCACCCATGTCCCCTCGTTCTGTTATTATTACGTGTGAACATTTCATCTATTTCCACTTTGTCAATTCCCTGAGTATTTTATATGTCCCTATCATATCTCCTCTCTCCCTTCTTTTCTCTAGTGTCGTAAGGTTCAGTTCCTTCAGCCGCTCTTCATATCCCATCCCTCGTAGCTCTGGGACAAGCCTTGTCGCAAACCTCTGAACCTTCTCCAGTTTCTTTATGTGTTTCTTCAGGTGGGGGCTCCATGATGGCGCGGCATACTCTAAGACGGGTCTCACGTAGGCAGTGTAAAGCGCCCTGAAAGCTTCCTCATTTAGGTTTCTGAATGAAGTTCTAATTTTCGCCAGTGTAGAGTACGCTGCTGTCGTTATCCTATTTATATGTGCCTCAGGAGTTAGATTAGGTGTCACATCCACTCCCAGGTCTCTTTCTCGAATCGTTACAGGTAGGCTGTTCCCCTTCATTGTGTACTGTCCCTTTGGTCTCCTGTCACCTGATCCCATTTCCATAACTTTACATTTACTGGTGTTAAACTCCAGTAGCCATTTCCCTGACCATCTCTGCAGCCTGTTTAAGTCCTCTTGGAGGATCCTACAATCCTCGTCTGTCACAACTCTTCTCATTAATTTTGCGTCATCTGCAAACATTGACATGTATGATTCCACTCCTGTAAACATATCATTTACGTAAATTAGAAAGAGGATTGGTCCCAGCACCGATCCTTGAGGTACTCCACTTGTTACTGTTCGCCAGTCCGACTTTTCGCCTCTTACCATTACCCTCTGGCTCCTTCCTGTTAGGTAGTTCTTCACCCATACTAGGGCCTTTCCGCTTACTCCTGCCTGCCTCTCAAGTTTGTATAGCAGTCTCATGTGCGGTACCGTATCAAAGGCCTTTTGGCAGTCAAGAAATATGCAGTCTGCCCAGCCTTCTCTGTCCTGCCTTATCCTTGTTACTTTATCATAGAATTCTAAAAGGTTTGTTAGGCATGATTTCCCTGTCCCTGTGTGTGTGTGTGTGTGTGTGTGTGTGTGTGTGTGTGTGTTTGTGTGTGTGTGTGTGTGTGTGTGTGTGTGTGGTGGAACAGGAATATTCATATTTCCTCCTCGGCAACGTCACAGGTTCTTAGATTTCCTCGAAAGCTTACAAACCATTCCATAACTTCCAAGAACAATGAGCTTCCTCCGTCTACCCTTCCATCTCCCCTCACGGTACTTTCAGCACATCTAAGCACCCTTAACGGATCAACGAGGAGACGTCGTTGTCCTCCTTCTGCCTTTTGTTGCAATCCAAACTTTCAATTTCCCCTTTGAACAATCAGCAGATATGTATCTCCAATTCGTATGAATAATTATCACATTCAAAGCTATTTGTTGTAATATACATATATCATAAACAAGTCCATCCCGTCACCAATTAGTTAGTCTATCCCTTCATTCTCCTTTCTCAGTATAGAATAGACTGAGCTTCTATTCCATTAATTACGAAACACAGTTTTATGTATCTCTCCTATATAGAATATTTGTCACTCCAATCTTTCTCTCCAACGAGATACACAACAGCATTCTCAGCTTCCCGACGCTTGGAATAATTTACACTATTAGCTCCGTTTGGTAACAAGCAATCCGCCACCCATACCCTCTCCGCCACAGCCATTGGCCCAAGACGACTCACACACAACAATCAGCGCACTAAAACCACTTCCCCACTGAACGATCTTCACCCAAGACCCTTCCTAAAGACCAGTTAAGCACCCATAACCCTTCCCACACAACAGTCAGCATGCAAAACCTTTCCCAAACTATAATCATTCCACTTTCGTTCCTATATCCTCAGAACAATCACTTTCCCAATCCTGGATGGCACAGAACAAATATTTCCACTACCCTTAATTAACAACAGAACAATCAATACCACTTCTTACTTCATAACCGAACACTCACCTCTTAGTAACTCCTTAATTAATGAAAATGCCGCTTTGTTTACCTTACATATTGACCAAACAATGACATCTGTGTCCTACCTTAGAGATAAACAAAAAATTTGTGTCTGACAATTCCTCTACGAGAGTTTACTTCGACGTTCCTGGGAATAATCAACATACTACTACCAGCATCAACATATATTCAACATAATACTACCAGCATCAATATCTATTCAGTAGATTACTACAAGAATCAATATAATCCTCATACCCACATCCACAATTATGATTAGTGACACAGCTGTGTCATTAATGAAGAGTGACACCTTCACAACTACCACCAATTCTACCACCACTATCACTTTACCAGCATAACAAGCACCAGCACTACCACCACTAGTGCTGGTGGTATCTCTCTTTCTCTTTCACCGTCATGATTACCACCGCCACTATCCTCCCCACCACTTTGGCATCACCTCTGCCACCTCTGTCACCATCACCACAGCCAATTCCACCACCGCTGGCATCACAACAACCACTTCCACCTCCACTGCCATCATCACAAACTTCATCACTACCACTACGGTAACCAGCATTTTCAATACAACTACCAGCACCACTACCATCATCTCCACCTCCACCATCACCACTACCAGCACCACCAACACCACCACCAAGAGCACCACCACCATCACCATCACCACCCATCACAGGCCAATCTTAACTTCTAACGTCATTTCTCCTTGATTGGGACCTCATTTTCCGGCGAGGAACATCTCCACCTTCAGCCTCATTACTTCCCACAGGTCCCGTGTCTTCAAGGAATTGGGAGGGATATAAAGAGATAGGGAGGGAGGAGGATGGGGATAAATGTGAAAGGGGGGTTGATAGGGTGGAACAGAGTCAAAGGACAGAGGAGGAGGGTATGAGGGGAACAGAGGGGGGAGGGGTGAGTAGGGTTAATATTGAAGCTAATTTTGCCCACCCAAATCATGTCACACAAGGCAGGTCATGGTGACGGCTCGCGTGTGCTGGATGGTGTAGGTGGTGGTGTGGTTGTTGATGTTTGTAGTGGTGATGGTTGTGGTGATGGTGGTGGGGGTCTTACGTACCTATCACCATCAACGGAGGACTGAGGTCGAGCTATTAATGCCCCGTCTATTTGACTTGTTGTGCCGGTTCCATTAAAATATAACTCTACTTTGTTATTGATAACTTCATCTACATTTGTGCACAATACGTTTATGCTGCTCATTATAACTGGGCTGCATATAACTGTCCCCCCAAGGCGTATTTGTTCATGTGATTGCGTTGCTGTGTCTGATAGGGGAAGACGGAGTTTGATGATCTAGTCACTCGTGCGTGCTCACTTGTTCAGGTACCTCATTAAGCAAGGCAGCTTTACTATTTCCCTCTATAGGAAATGTCACTCCGTTGCTATATTAAGCTGGTTAGTCCCACTATTTTTTACAATAAAATGTTCTCTCCCATCAGATTTGTTCCTCCTGTGCAATGTTCATGCTATTTTCTGGGCTCCTTGCATTTCTTATTTTTTTCCTGATTCGCTTTGCTATCTCCCTATCCTCCTTAAATATTTTCTGTCTAATAAATACTGCAAGGTACATTTCCTCATCCCTCAAATAATTATTTTCTGTCAGTAAATATTTAAATGGATTGCTTTTAAGAAAAATTACTTGACTGGTCTCTTTCTTTAACTCTGAAATGTACCAAGGATCCCCAGCTTTTATATATAGAAATAATCCACTTCCATTGTTGCTTCTCCAGCCTGAGTTTCTGTTATTTCAGATTGGTCTTTCTCTCTTCTTATTTACCACGTGTCTCTCTCTGGCTCTGATTGGTTGTATATTACAATAACTCTTCCCTCTCAAACTCTTTCTTTGTACTTCTCAATATGAGGAGTTTTTACAGAGTAACACTGTTGCCTTATTTTCTTTTCCTCTGACTATTTTCCTGCTTCAGCAAAGGTTTTAACTGACCTTACTCCAAAAATCTGTTACATTATCCACGTTGAATTCTCTCCTCTGTTATCGTACTCATTTCCTTTGTTGAATTCCCTTTCCATCATTTGTATTCGTCTCTATAACCTATTCATACTTGAATCCCTTTTAAGATTTCTTTCCACCAGCTCTTCTAATTGCAATGGGGAGTTTAAGACTCCCAAATGCAACAGTCCTAGACATCAAGTTACACCTCTAGGTCTTCAATGATCTCATTCTTTTTTTCTGCTTTGTCCTGCATTTATTGAAATTGCCTTTCAAGAAAAGGTACCACTTCTTTAAGTTTTCTTATCACTTCTCCCCTTTTCTCTCTCTTTCTTCCACATCTTTTTGTATGTTTGCATTGCCTCTCACTAGTTCATCGATGCTTTCATTAGGTTCTTCTATGGTAACTGCCAGTGTTTGCTCCTCATTCATACGATCCTCTAAGGTCATTAACGTTTTCTTTATGACTGGGTTATTTACTGAGGACTTTCCATATCCCAGCCCATCCTAATGTTTAGGCAGTACTTATAGTAACGACGAGGTCCATCGAACATATATTGACGTAAAAGACTTTAAGAGAGTAAACATTGGTACTATTCAATTTGGACAGACCGGAAAAGTTTTTGTATTGCTGTTGCATAGAAAACTTAACGTAACCAATAATTAACCTTCCTAGGCCTAATACCAACCCGTCCTCTTAAAGATAACGCCGCTTTTCGCTCGTATGCTTTTCGCTTTTTCGGTTTTCATGACGTTTTGAAACTTTAGGAGAATTTCTTGCCCTCCTAACCTACCAGAGGACCCTTAACTTACTGTTAAGAAAAAATTATCCAAAAATTATTTTACTTTTTTTCTGAAATTACGTCCATATTCGGCCATACGGGCATACCGCCAAATTCAGACATAATTTGTAAAAGGATAGGTATTTTAGTGAGCTGATTTAATTTCAAATTACGTCCATTTTTAGCCACAGCGAGCATACGACTGAAAAACGACATTATTTTAAGAGAACGCATTGATCTGAGGTCAAATATAGTGCATACACACACACACACACACACACACACACACACACACCACACACACACACACACACACACACACACACACATAGTAGGCTGAGACCAGTACAGGAATCTGTACACCAGTTGATTGACGGTTGAGAGGCGGGACCAAAGAGCCAGAGCTCAACCCCCGCAAGCACAATTAGGTGAGTACAATTAGGTGAGTACACATACCAGTTCCAGAGCCCAATAGGCTCAGGAACTTGTACACCTGTTGATTGATGGTTGAGACACACTCTTATATATATATATATATATATATATATATATATATATATATATATATATATATATATATATATATATATATATATATATATATATATATATATATATATATATATATATATATATGTCGTACCTAGTAGCCAGAACTCACTTCTCAGCCTACTATGCAAGGCCCGATTTGCCTAATAAGCCAAGTTTTCATGAATTAATTGTTTTTCGACTACCTAACCTACCTAACCTAACCTAACCTAACTTTTTCGGCTACCTAACCCAACCTAACCTATAAAGATAGGTTAGGTTAGGTTAGGTAGGGTTGGTTAGGTTCGGTCATATATCTACGTTAATTTTAACTCCAATAAAAAAAAAATGCCCTCATATATAATGAAATGGGTAGATTTATCATTTCATAAGAAAAAAATTAGAGAAAATATATTAATTCAGGAAAACTTGGCTTATTAGGCAAAACGGGCCTTGCAAATACGGGTGTGTATTTATATTATTTAAGTTTGGATTTTAGCTTTATTTTTTCGGAGTCTATAAAGTGAATAGTTACAAATTCCAGCATCTAATTGTCCATGAAGTCTATGTATTCACTATGGCCCACATAGATACAAAAATTATAATCTAAACAGGAGGATTGGTTGTCATATCCTTTTTGTCTCTCACTCCTAGGTGATGTTTACGAAACTCTGGTGATATAACCCGTACACTGGATAAACATGGCTTCCACTAATTTCATTTGACGACTCACCCTGCCAATATACGATACTGATAGACCCTGAAGGGTAGCTCCTGTCGTGAAATGGGGTGGGGAAATGAGGTGGTAATGGTGGTTGTGATGATGGTGAGGGTGGTGGTGGTGGTGGTTCTGGAGACCACATAGAATGAAGATGCACTGCTACTGCCGTCTTTTCTGCACAACTCAGGGAGTTGATAGTTGTGGGGTTGTTTCAACATCGAATAAAGACACGCAGCTGGGTCAAGCCCTGGTTCCTTTCTCTACTACTTCTGCGTTTCCTCTCACTGACTTCTCTTCAGCTGTCCCAACTTTAAGGCTCGCCCTAATGGGCATCTTATCCTTTATATTATTGTATTGAATTGTAGGTGGTTGTGCTGGTAATGGAGGTTGCGTTGATGGTGGTTTAGGTTGTGATTTTGTTATGGGAACTTGTGTTAATGCGTGTGATGGTGCCGGTGGTAATGATTTCAAAGTACTAATACTGGTGATTCACCTAATTATGCTCATCTAATTGTGCTCGCGGGGGCTGAGCTTCGGCACGTTAGTCTCGCCTCTCAACCGCCAATCAACTGCTGTAAAGGTTCATGAGCCAATTGGTCTCTATCACATCTACATATGAAACTGAAAGTCTGTCTCCACCACACCACTGCAATGTACCATTACTAGTGATTGAGATTATTCCCTCCCATTACCCACTCATGTCACCCATTCTAGCTACATTCCATTAGGTTACCCCATTAGGTTGCCCTTACTAACCCCACAATTTAACCTCACAGAGTAACCCAGACTATGAATATAATCTCTCCCCTTCCTGGCCTCTAATTCAAGCTACCGTTACTTTTCCTCAGGTCTCCCCTTCTAATCCGTGCCTCCCTCTCTCTCCCCTCAGGTCGGCCGCCCCCCTCTGTGACCTGGTGGTCTGAAAGAGTGCTTGAGGAACGAAACTTCGAGGTCACAAGAGAAGGTCACGTTCGCTCTGACCTCAAAATAGCGGAAGTAACCCGCGCCCATCACCTCAAGTCCTACACCTGCCAGGCACAAAATAATAATCAACAGAAGTTGATGGAGGAGATCACCATAGACATGAATTGTGAGTTGATGGTTAGATGGGAGAGTTAAGGAGGTATAAGTCTAATAGGTAACATGATAGTAGAATAGTGAAAACAGTTGTTGAGTCGAAAGCTTGGTGGTGAAAAGGTCACTTTAGGTCTATTCTTGGGGATCATATGATTCACCTGTGACACATTCATGCAGGAACGGACGATGAGGCTAAGCACTATCATGCTGTGAGTTGCTGGCAGGGGTTATAATGGTCGAGGTTATGACCTGAAAAACCAAGAGTTTAGAGCACTGGAGTGTTTAGGAATCAATCATGCTGTGGTTGATGGAGGAGGTGCTGATTGACGGTATGATGATGTGGATGCAGGGTATAATGAGGCTTATGAAAGATATAAGGAAGTGAATGGTAGGTACAATGAAGTGCATGAAGAATACAATGAGGTGGGTGAAGGATGCCATGAGGTGGATAAAGTATGGAACTGAAGTGGATGTAGGGCATAATGGTATGGATAAAGGATACAATTATGTTTATGAAGGATACCTTGAAGTTAATGTCGGGAAGAAAGACGTTGATTAAGAGGTATGAGATGCATGAAGGGTATGATGAATATGAATTTCAATTCAACTGCAATCATTCCTAACTATTCACGTACTTATCTCATAATCATCATACGCCCACCACTTACTCTATCACCCATAACCTTCATCCCCCCATTCTCTTATTATGCATCATCATTACCTCTCCCACTCATCATCCTCCAAAATCATGTCAATCTTGCACAAGTTCTTCCCGACTCAAAATGATCTCATACCCCCACTCCCACCATTGTATTTCCCCATTTCTTCCTTTTCCTATATAGCCTTCCCAGTGCTATATTGTCGTAATGGCTTGGCGCTTTCTCCTGATAGTTCCCTTCCTCCCCCTCCCCCCAATTACGTCACTCTTCATCCATCGCTTCCATTTCATCCATCCCTTTCCCTCCCAACCATCCTGCAATCGTCGTCCCCTAATCACCCTCTCGTATTCCACAGACCTTGTGCATCCCAAGCCAAACCTAACCCCCATCCGATGCCTTTGTTTTAAATTTCTTATCCTCGCTGTCATGTATGTTGTTGTTTTAGATTCAGCTACTTGGAACAATATGTTCCAAGTAGCACGGGCTATGGTGAGCCCGTAGTGGACTTACCTGCCACAGAGTGGGACTGTAACTTGCTGCCCTGTAACTCTACATAACATTTAAACCTCTCCACTCCCCACCCCATTAAGGGATATTCATGCCCATACTACCTCTTGGGTGGTTTAATCTTCATCAATCAATCAATCCCCACCCTAACAACCTCAAGGATCCCTTCCCGCTTCCCAACTCCACTTGTCCTTCTTTTGATACTCCCCATGCAATATTCACAATATATATATATATATATATATATATATATATATATATATATATATATATATATATATATATATATATATATATATATATATATGTCGTACCTAGTAGCCAGAACGCACTTCTCAGCCTACTATGCAAGGCCCGATTTGCCTAATACGCCTAGTTTTCATGAATTAATTGTTTTTCGACTACCTAACCTACCTAACCTAACCTAACCTAACTTTTTCGGCCACCTAACCAAACCTAACCTATAAAGATAGGTTAGGTTAGGTTAGGTAGGGGTGGTTAGGTTCGGTCATATATCTACGTTAATTTTAACTCCAATAAAAGAAACTGACCTCATACGTAATTAAATGCGTAGCTGTATCATTTCATAAGAAAAAATTTAGAGAAAATATATTAATTCAGGAAAACTTGGCTTATTAGGCAAATTGGGCCCTGCATAGTAGTCCAAAAAGTGCGTTCTGGCTACTAGGTACGACATATATATATATATATATATATATATATATATATATATATATATATATATATATATTCCTGCTCAAGGAACCACCCCCAACACTATTGGCATAGACGTCATGGATGAGAGTAAGCGATTATTGATGGAAGAAAGTGAGCCTCAAAGTAGTGAACCAAATACAGACGGGAGTGTAAATAATGCGAGTGAATTTCAGGAAGGATCACATGAACAAAACTCAGATATAATCTCACTCACATAAACTATTTTGTCAGGAGCCATGGTGAATGTTGTGTTTCTTCACGACAACTTTAGAGTAACGCGAGACAAGGAAGGAAGGGGTGGAGAAGAAGTAATTCAGCTTATAAAATAGGAATGTAGCTTCGAAGAGAGTTTACAGACAACTTAATGAGCATAATGATAATATAAGAACCAACGCTAGTAGTGATAAATATCACTACTGACTATCCTAGTCATGGTCAGTGTGTGGGGTCACCTGCTGAGGTCCCGACGGTCTTCAGGTCATTTCCCATAAAAACAGCCATTTTAAGTCAATATTTGGAGGCCTGGTCGTGGACCGGGCCACGGGGACGCTAAGTCCTGAAATCATCTAAAGAAGACTTAAGATAATTACTACCTTCACTAACAGACAGGATTAAGACAGACACAGCGTGACATTCATAGCTTTAGAAGAAAACACAACCACAGTCGCTGATAAAAATGGATCACGACTCGTAATCCTACGAGACTTGAATCATGGAAAGCTAGACTGGGAGAACTGAGAACCACACGAAGAAACAGATACTTGGAGAGGTAAACTATTTGATGTGACAACGCGAAGCGTTTTTAAGCCAAAATATCAGGGATCCCACAAGAATGAGAGGTAATGACGATTCAGCTATATCATTCATTTTAGCCCGATTCATTCAGCATCAATTATCCTTCGTATTTTATAAACTAATCACATCAGACTCTACATCCAGTCATTCGGTATTCTTCTCCCCTTCTCTTTTATTACTAATTTGTTTATTCCCCAACTCATGTCTACGCCTCTCTTCACATACACGACTGTCCTTCAGAATACATCCCTTACTCTTTGCCGTCACTCCCATGTCACCCACCACTCTATTTAAATCCCATTCACCCGACTCCCCCCACATTTCTGACTCACTCACGTTTCATCCTCTCATCTAACAAGTCTCACCCTCCACCCCCACTACCACCAACCACACAGCTCATTAGACTTCATTCAATTCTCTCTCACCCTCTCTTCTTTTCCAGTACGACCACTGAGTGTCAGGATCAAAATCCCCGAGGATCCCCTTATATCAGGCCGCCACTACACCTTCACCTGCGAGAGTTTGGGATCCAAGCCCCCAGCCGTCATCAAGTGGATCGAGGAGACAGGAGAAGTAGAGGGAGCGAGAACCCATACGGTACGATCTACCATATCTCTCTCTCTCTCTCTCTCTCTCTGTCTCTCTCCCTCTCTCTCTCTCTCTCTGTCTATCTCTCTCTCTCTCTCTCTCTCTATCTCTCTCTCTCTCTCTCTCTCTCTCTCTCTCTCTCTCTCTCTCTCTCTCTCTCTCTCTCTCTCTCTCTCTCTCTCTCTCTCTCTCTCTCTCTCTCTCTCTCTCTCTCTCTCTCTCTCGTTCTCTCTCCCCCACGTTCTCAAAATTAATCCTTTTTTTAATATGTTTTACTGTTCAGTTTTTCTTTTACCCATAGCTATCTATTTTACTGTAATATAGCACCCATGATTCCTTGTATCATTTTGGTCGTGAATGTATTTATGTCTGTAACAGAGATTTTGTACTCTGTTTTTTTTTTTGTCTCTTTCTCTCTCCCCTCCTGACGCAGACACCTGGCAATATTTTAAGTTTTGGCGATTCTGAAGTTGAAAAGATTTTTTCGTGGATGAAACTCAAACTCTTCTTTTATCTCTCTTTCTCACTTACTTCTTTTTCTTCTTCCTCTAACTCTCTCATTCCCGTTTTCTCTATCTCCCTCACTTGCTTTCTCACTCACTCTTTTTCTATCTCTCCTTCTCTCTCTCATTCTCTCTCTCTTTTGCACTCTCTCTCTCTCTCTCCTCTCACTTGCTTTCTCACCTCACTCTTTTTCTATCTCTCCTTCTCTCTCTCTCTCTATTCTCTCTCTCATTTGCACTCTCTCATCTCTCTCCTCTCTCTCTTCTCTCTCTCTCTCTCTCTCTCTCTCTCTCTCTCTCTCTCTCTCTCTCTCTCTCTCTCTCTCTCTCTCTCTCTCTCTCTCTCTCTCTCTCTCTCTCTCTCTCTCTCTCTCTCTCTCTCTCTCTCTCTACTCTACATGAAAAAATATAATCCATTTTGTAATCTTTTTTTTACTGTTAAGTTTTTCTTTTATCCATAGCTACCTCGTTTACTGTAATATGTTATGTCCTTTCTCTGTAAAATATGTTGGGTTTATCGCGAAATATTCATTTAATCTCCCTCTCTCCCTCTCCAAGGTTTCTACTAGTTTTGAACTAAATTTAAATATACTTTATAAACTTTAATGATTTTATTTGATCTGTTTTTTTGCATATTGTTTATCTCTGTTTACCAAATTTATCGATAATCTTTAGGTTCGTTTCTCCTTGTTTACATCAAGGAAATTTTATCAGTTATTTATTTCACTTTGTTTCTTTCTCGATTTATTGAACTACGTTTTCCCGTTTTCTTGCTCCAAACTGTACATAATTTGTATTAATTATTATTCGAAGGACGAATATATATATATATATATATATATATATATATATATATATATATATATATATATATATAATATATATATATATATATATATATATATATATATATATATATATATATATATATATATATACACAACAGGGAAAACATATTACAAACATATGTAATCCTTAAACATAGATTAAAACACAGGAAACAGAAACATATCCAACGTGTACATATGTAATGAGAGTTTACTTTCGTTCTAGACTATGTTCAGAACTAAAGTATATTACTGGTTGGTCAGTGAGCTATTGTGTTGGTCTTAATGACCCTTCAGAGGCTGAGTGGCAAAAATTCCAACCTCGGACCTGCTGGTTGATCAGCAGGTTTGTTTATATCTGAAGATACTTATGAAAACACAGATACTTTTGTCTTGATTTGTATTAGCAAGTCGGTATTCACACTATGCTACTCTTATTATCTCTTTCTTTCTTCATTTCTCTCTTAACCCTCCCTCTCCCTAAATCCCACTTCCCTCTTCCATTCTTCTCTACTCCCCTCTTCTGTTCCTCTCTTCCTTTCTCGTCTTTCCTCTCTTCCTTTCTCGTCTTTCCTGTTTTCCTCTCTTTCTTTATAGAATAACACAATACGATTTTTGACTCTCAGTTTCTGTTATATTATTCACTTCTGTTTCCTCTCCTCCTTCACCCCTCATCTCCTCCATCCCTTCTCCCAATTCTCTCCAGCTCTCATTCTCTCTTGTTTCTCTCCCCTATAGAGGTCGAGCCCTGGGGAGATCACCACGGGGTCCTTGACGTTGGTCCCCTCTCAGACCGACCATGGGAGAGTCCTCAAGTGCCAGGCCAGCAACCCTTCAGTGCCAGGGAGTGCCATATCGGATTCAGTGCAACTTAATGTCCATTGTAAGTGCAATGTTGCTTCAGGACAGAGTGAATGGGGCTTGTCTGGGATGCAGGTGCTATTGCCTGTTTACAAGAGGATTGCAAGTGGTGTCTATGTTGAAATAGATGATTCAAATGTGATAGGATATTTTAAGGATGTTGTAAGTAGTGTTACGTTTAAGTTCTTAGAACTACTTTAGTTGCCTTTAATGGAATAAAGGTTTAAGAAGGAATAATATGTCTAGTAAAG